GGGGCATTGCCAGCAGATCGAGGGACGTGATCATTCCCCTCTATTCAGCATTGGTGAGGCCTCATCTGGAGTACTGTGTCCAGTTTTGGGCCCCACACTACAAGAAGGATGTGGAAAAATTGGAAAGAGTCCAGCAGAGGGCAACAAAAATGATTAGGGGGCTGGAGCACATGACTTATGAGGAGAGGCTGAGGGAACTGGGATTGTTTAGACTGCAGAAGAGAAGAATGAGGGGGGATTTGATAGCTGCTTTCAACTACCTGAAAGGGGGTTCCAAAGAGGATAGGTCTAGACTGTTCGCAGTGGTACCAGATGACAGAACAAGGAGTAATGGTCTCAAGTTGCAGTGAGGAAGGTTTAGGTTGGATATTTGGAAAAAATCTTTTTCACTAGGAGGCTGGTGAAGCACCGGAATGGGTTACCTAAGGAGGTGGTGGAATCTCCTTCCTTAGAGGTTTTTAAGGTCAGGCTTGACAAAGCCCTGGCTGGGATGATTTAGTTGGGGATTGGTCCTGCTTTGAGCAGGGGGTTGGACTAGATGACCTCCTGAGGTCCCTTTCAACCCTAATATTCTATGATTCTATGATCCTATGAACTACTGCCGTTTGTTGGGGGTGGTTTAATTACGTCGACAGGAGAGCTCTCACCCATCGGCATATGGGGGCTACAGGAGAGATCTTATAGCAGCGCAACTGCATAGGTACAGCTGTGCCACTGTAAAGTCTCTAGTGTAGATGTAACCCTTGCCTGCTAGGTGTGGTGCTCTGCCCCCTCTAGTGGCAGCTAGTTCGGCTAGAGATTAATGAGTCTGCTACAGCCTTAACTAAGAGCATGTAGCTTTTAGCCCATGCAGTAGAGACTCATGCATTTAGCTCCCGAGGTCCCAGGTTCGATCGCACCCACCAGGGGCTGTCTGTGTTATATAGACATGGTCTTTCCTGGCCTTAAAAAAATCTGTGACTCTATGAAAACAGCACAATATAAGCTGCAGGAGAAAAGAGATTGGAGGAGAAAGGCTGAAGGTCAAAAGAGAGGAAGGAGCAACAGGCACGGAAGACGTGAAAAGAGTGAAACCAAGACAAATGTGAACAAAGAAGCTCTGCTGGCTGGACATTAACGGAGCTGAACAGGTAACAGGGCATTGGCTTTACCTGCTGATTGAGGAGACAGTGCACCAGGAAGATGAAGGCTCCCTGCAGGCTGTTGATGATGGTGAATAAATATGCCATGACCGTGGCTGCCGATTTTGTTTGCAACAGACCAAGGCTCCATGTGCAGCCCAGAATGAAGAGCTGGGCGATGGCTTTAAATGTCAGTAATCTGGAGTAAAGCAGATGGAGAGAGCCCATTACAACCCTATGCAGAGAGACCAAGTCAGTGGGCTCTGTGCAGGATGGCTTACGCCCTCCAAGTAGCAACTATGCAAAATTCCCCTAGGGCCCTCTGGTGGGTAATGCTTCTAGATAGAGATTCTGCAAACAGGCCCTATTCCAACCAGGTTAGAATGGCTTCTACCATCCCCTTCACTCTCTATGGGCCTGCTCCGAAGCACAGAGAGAGACTGCCATTGACTTCACTGAGTTTGGAGCAGGCCCTAGTTTGCCACCCCTTCTGCATCTTGTTCATTTCCTGATTTTGCTGCAAGCAGGCTCGGGCCATCAGTACCACACATCTGAGGGCAGTTGTCATTTCAGTGAGCTGGGCCAGTGAAGGATTTACCTGTTCTCTAATTCCAGGTAGGTATTTCTCTCCCCTTTTTATTCCTGGTACTTCAGATGAAGTATCAGAGCATCTTACAACCTTGAAGATATTTACCTTCAGAACCACTCTGTGATGTAAGACGGTGCCCTTATCCCCATTTTCCAGATGGAGAACCAAGGCATAGCAAGATTAAGAATCTTGCCCAATGTCACATAGGAAGGCTGTGTCGGATCAGGGAGTTGAACCCAGGTCTCCCACATCCCAGACTAGCACTCTTAGCACTGAATCATCCTTTCTCTCCCATTCTGATTGATTTGGAAACCGCTATAATATAGCGCTGCAAGGAGAACACTACATTCGCTAGAAACCATGGCTTGCCATTAAAGATCTGGTCCATTAGTCCTTACACCGCACTCATAATATGGAATAGGTCGCTAAATGATTGAAGGGATTGTTGCGTGCCCATTGCTGTAGCATGTCAGAGTACAATGCAGACTGGCAGAACCAGATACTAAAGTCAGCTGACAGCAAAAGCGGCCTTTTGCCATACCAGGCAGATTCAGCCTTTGTGAAACTTCCTTGGTTTCAGCAGAGTTACAGATTTTACCTAAGATTAATTCACGTATAGATATTTGCATAGCACCCGGCATTGTAACATCTGACTTAAACCTGTGTTCTGTTCCGAGCTCTGCCACTGGCCTGTGGTGTAACACTGACCACGTCCATTTTCCTCTGTTTCCCCTCACATCCGTTTTGTAGCGCAGGCAGTGATATATAACCGTGCAGTAATAATAGTTACATAGGAAGAATAACGGGCAAAGGGCTAGGGAATGAGTAGAAAAAACACAAAATACCTGTTGACCAACACCTATAAAATAGCTTAAGCAGTTAGCATAAATGCAAGGCCTTACAGCCTAAGTAGAAGTAGTTGCTCAATACGTTAGCATAAGTCAGTAAACTAACAGTTATCATAAGTCACAAAATGGCAAAAGTCTTTTTGTTTCTTCTTTTGTAATGACCACTTGTGTTGCAAACTGTTGATGGGTAACTGCAAAAAGACAAAAACCAATTTCAAGTATTTTTAAAGGAGGACATCAGCAAATGCCTAAATGCAGGTAACCACAGTAATCCAATTAACGTATGTTAATGAGCTTAACCAAGTTAATAGACTAACCTATAGAATAAGAACACCCCAACAATATAAAGGTAAATACATTAAAATATGGTTTAAAAAAAAAGTTCTGTGTACATATGCATAAAAAATACCAAGGCCTATAAAACATCTAGTCTCTGGAACAGCCATTAAAATTCTTCATCAGCATCTCAAAAACCAAAATCTGTCTCAATCCTTAAATCTCTCCCCCAAAAGAAAGTAGTATATACAGGGAATGGGGCTGGTCGCTCTCACACTGTTATACTATCTCACTGGTTTAAATTGCTTTACTTAAACTAATCATTGTGATAATAAAACGTTGGCAGTTACAGAAGGTTTTGGCTAAGTGCAAGTGTTTTTATTGCTGTGCCCACCTTCCTCAAATTAGGTCTCTTCTCACCATTGTCAGTTACAAATCCCAGCGACCATGGCCACATGTCCAGCTCTTCCAGAAAACACGGCTTTAGCAATTAGATACCAAGAAATCACTGTGCAGTTTTCCTCATGCTGTCTCAGCTGTGGATAGCAAACGGCATCAAACTAGGCTGAACAAAACACTAGAAAAAGCGTCCTTCCTGGAGGAGAGAATCCTGCACTGAATGAGGAAAATGGGACTGGATGATCTAACACATCTTGTCCATTCCTGATATCTCTAACTTTCTGCTTGACTGAAAGGGCTAAGAGTTCTTACACTAGCCAAAAGAGAAGATGCAGGAGGAGCGAACAGAAAACTCTGTACAAGGCAGCCTTGATTATCCATACTTCAGTTATGCAGAACAAGGATTCCCCCAATTTGTTAATTGCATTGAAACTTCCCTTGATTATAGAGGAAGGATGATGTAATGGTTAGTGCCCTAATCTAGTACTTGGGAGACCCAGGTTCAATTCTATGCCCTGCCACAGATTTTGTGTATGACCTTGGGCAAGTCATTTAGCCTCTATGTGCCTCAGTTCCCCATCTGTATAATGGGGATAAGAGCCCTGTCCTGCCTCACAGGGGTGTTGGAGGATCAATGCATTCAAGATCGTGAAGCGCTCTGAGATCTGTGGGTGAAAAGTGCTACATAAAAGCCAGCATACAAAATAGGGGCCCAATCCCATGAGATGCTCAGCACTTCCTAAAAGGTGCTGCGTACCCTCATCTCTGACCTAAGTCAATAGGCACTGACGGTTCTCAGCTGCTTGCAGGACCAGGTATTCAGTGTTCTGTTCTCCATGACTTTCTGATACCAAGTCTGTATCACGCTGGTATTTCCTCAGTTTAATTGAGCCAAGAGCACCTGTAGCAACCCCCCCTGCAGAAGACTAACTGGACCTCTCAGGCAGGTTTAGTGCTTTCCTACCTTGTGTTTTTGAGGGTGGAGACATCTGTATTCAGGGAGGAGATTTTGTCTCTCAGGAGCCAGAGGGTTGTGATAAAAAATGCTAAATTCATCTGTGGAAACAACACAACAACTCGAGTGGATCAGACCCCAGGTCCATCTAGTCCAGTATTCTGCCTCTGACCATGGCCAGTACCAAGTGCTTCAGAGGCATGGATAATCTACCCCCTATATTAGTTCTCCTCTTGGTCTTTGGTAGCTACAGCTTGATTTAAATCCTGAAGTCTGGGGTTTAATATCCCTTCCAGAACTTTTGTTAGCCCTGATTAGAACAACTCTGGATATTATTCTTGCCACCCATATAAATGCCCAATTTCTTTTGGAATCTTGTTAAAATTCTTCATGTATTCACAGTGCCTAGCACAATGGTACTTTGACCCCAGATGGGAGCCCCCAGCTGCGATTGTCATCTGAATCCTTCCTGCACCACAAGACATCACTTAGGGCACAGATAAGGCTCCGCCATCCCTCTCTGTTCTGAGCTGCTCTGTCTGTCCTCTGTGTTACGTTCCATAAACTTTCCCTCTCTACGTATTGTTGGATCATGGAAGGATTCTTTCAGCTGCCCTCTTGTCCATGTTCTTCCGGCTGCCCAGTTTCACACCTGACATAGCCGATGCTCTGGTTTCATTCGTAACACCTAGCCCAGATATTTCCGTCTTCTCTTCTGGATAACTTTGGAGCTAAGGAGGTGCTGAACTCTTACAAATCCCAGCATTTGGTATAAATTTGTTCCACTCCATTGGAAACAAATTGCATGTGATTTATTATTTATGAATTTACTGTAATACAAATAAAGAAGGTGACATTGTTACCTTGTCACTTTCCAGAGAGTAAATCCACGGTAGCTAGGCCACAACTCACTCCTTAAGCAAACGTCCCAATGTCTGACTCATCTCACTATCAAAGACCTTTCCCTGTGGCATACACATAATTTATCCTAAATATACCCACCACAATAATAAGGCAGACCGGTCCAAGGAAACTCCAGACAAAGCCTCCCTCTATTGTGAGCCAGCAGCTAAAAGGCAAGAAGAAAAAGGGTAACAAATTATCCCTGGCATTAAAATGAAGTGAATTCTCTCCTTTTGGTTGTCAGAGTTGATATCTGGGTGGGGTGGGAGATGCAGGGTGAACGCTACCTACTTCCCTTTATGACAGTCTCATGGATGTAGATTGCAGAAACTAGTCTTATAAGAACATAACAATGGCCATACTGGGTCAGACCAAAGGTCCATCTAGCCCAGTATCCTGTCTTCCGACAGTGGGCAATGCCAGGTGTCCCAGAGGGAATGAACAGATCAGGGAATCATCAAGTGATCCATCCTCTGTGGCCCATTCCCAGCTTCTGGCAAACAGAGGCTAGGGACACCATCCCTGTCCATCCTGGCTAACAGCCATTGATGGACCTATCCTCCATGAATTTATCTAGTTCTTTTTTGAACCCTGTTATAGTCGTGGCCTTCACAACATCCTCTGGCAAGGACTTCCACAGGTTGACTGTGCGTTGTGTGAAACATATGAAGCAACGGGGATTGTAGAATATATTGTCTCTCTGTAATTCAGCCAATGAGTTGAGTGGGCAATGAGATATCTGTTCTCCCTCTGGGATGGGCGCTGCACGTACTGTTCGGCAGTTCCGTAGCCTTTGTGATTCACCGCTGCAGAAATAGCCACCACCAGGGCTGGGACTCCGTAGCCGAACGGGTACATGAATCTCTTCTTGAACTGGCCGGCGCTGGTGTAATTCACGACCTTCAGGTTCCTGACAGTGAGGAAGAGGTGCAGCCCTTCCAGGAACATCCAGGTGAAACAGGCCAGGAAGAGGAAGTGTAGGAGGCCAGCAATGACAGCACACGCCACCTGGGGGAGACAGAGAGCTCAGGGACTCTGAACATCTATCTCTCCGAGATAGGGGAAGTGTTAGTTATTTGATGTGCCCCCTCCAAACTGGGGAGAAAATGGCAACAAGGCCTGTGAAATATTTAACAAACCCCTAGGACATCTGGGACTATACACTGCATACTGTGGCCATTCAACTTCATCACAGCACGAGGGGTAGAACTCAGATCCTCCTGGTCCAAAAGCACTAGCTCCTACCTCATAAACTAAAAGAGAATCTCCATTAGTGGGTAACAATATAGGGCTTATGACACGTATTGAGACAGGCTGCTCGGAGTTCAGTTCCCAAGCCTGCCACCGACTTCACGTGTGACCTTGGGCAAGTCAATTAATCTCCCTGTGCCTCACATCCCCATCTGTAAAATGGGGATAATGGAATTCTGTCCCCCACCCATTGTCTCATCTGCTTAGACCATAAGCTCTTCAGGATAGCAATTGTCTCTTCCTCTATGTGCAGTGCCCAGCACAATGGAGCTCTGATTTCAGTTGGGTCTCGTTGGCTACTATAATGCAAATAAACGACTATAATAGTTGAGGCAGTTCTGACCCCATCCAATAGAGGGCAGCGCTGTTTCACTCACACCAGATACTAGGTCACAAATTTTTTTTTCAGGCAAGAACTCAGGGCAAGGAGTAAACCAAGGAAACACACAGACTGAAACATATGCACTGTCCTCACTCTCTGAGCCAGCTCATATTGACAGCTATGTGTATTCCACCTGTTGGCGAAGGGCATTTTTTAATCATGGGAAAGCTGCATCGGCCCAAATGTGCATGTGAAGTTGATACCCTAAGTTGCTCAGTCCAGGGTCCCTCCTATGGCTGGGGAGCTGAGGCCAAGGGATAATTAAACTCTGGTGTCCGATTCCGATTTTACTGATGCTGGTGTAAATCTGGGGAACCTCCACTGAGGCCAGTGGTGTCAAAGCAGTGTGAGCCAGTTCAGAATCCAGATCACTGAATTTATTCTGGGCAACGTGATCCCAGGCACGTGAAGGGGCCCAAGGGCAAAACCAGCCCACCTTGGTTATCAGTGCATCACACAGGTCGCAGCTTGCAGTCTGTATGCATTGCATTCATGTTCCTTATATTCCTCCATCCATCCCTCCCCCCACAAGCCCTCTGTGCCATCCTCCGATTCTCCTCTTCCTCAAGGACCCCCTGCAAGTCCCCACATGCCTGGACTCATGCCAGGGGCTTTGATCACATCAACCCCCACCCCACCACTGTCATCTCTCCACATACCATTGTCCCTTATTCACTGTCCTCCCCCACATCATCCCTTGGTAGGGTCTCTGTGTGGTCCCCCTATGCTTCCTCTTCCCCCCATGCCAGGGGCTGTGTCCCACCCCCCTCCCACAATCTTCTCTCCACATGCCATCATCCCTTATTCGCTGTCCCCCCATCCTCCCCTGGTAGGTCTCTGTGTGGGCCCCCCTTGCTTCCTCTTCCCCCCATGTCAAGGGCCCCATATGTGCCCCATTCCCCCTCATTATTTCACTACAGGAGCACTTAGGGGCCCCAAACAAGTTCAAGGACCCGTCGTGCTCAGCGCTGTACAAACACCCAGTAAGAGTGTGTCTACACTGCAGCTGGGAGCATGAGTCCCCAGGCAGCAGCCCAGGCTAGCCACCCAAGTACAATCACGTCTGAGGCCGCACTGCTACCCTGTTTCCCCGAAAATAAGACAGTATCTTATATTAATTTTTGCTCCCAAAGATGCGCTAGGTCTTATTTTCAGGGGATGTCTTATTTTTCAGAAATGAAAAAT